GACAATTAGCTTGAAGTTGCTTGATCTGCTCTCCGATAAATGCCATTCCGTTAATCTTCTGGTGAAAATGGTCAAATGTACGTTTTAGGATGATCTCCTCAAGAGAGCCTCCTATTTCTAGAAAATGTAACACAAGCTCATAATCACTTACACATCCTGTAAAGCCAATTAACTTTACCAGCTTTAGATGTTTGTGAACACCACGATTATGTTCAAATTGACGAGGAGAAGCAAAAATCTGCAAAAATAAAACAATAAGACCTCCCATCAGGACCAAATACAATGGATATATGAAAACTTTGTGACAAGTTACTTTACCTCATCATACAAGATGTTAGTGTATGTTATCTGGCCTCGAATGAAAAATAAAAAAAGAGGATCAGGACATAAACATGAGACAATATAAATGAAAGTAAAGACGATATATATTAACTTACCCGAGCAATGAAACTAGACAACAAAGGACATGCCTTGGTAAAAAGGGTGAAATAGTGTAGGCTTCTACCAGCGTATAACTGAATGTCCAATTCCAACTCTCTTAGATTGTCCAGTACAGGGAAATTATAAGGACAATCAACCTGGACCACAAAATTATAACAACTTTTGTCAATATCAAAAAAAGTGAAGAAGTATATATTTAAGAAGAAGAACCTCATAACGCACCATTAGTTTGAGCTTCCTCAGCTTAGAGGAATAGCTTGCGTGTTTGTCAGGCTTACATATAAAAGAAAAACAATACCCTTGTCCAATGGTTAGCTCAGATAGCTGGTCGACATTCCGAAAAGGAATCTCTATATGAGGCCCAATGTATGTAAACGACTCTAGATTTGACGCATCAACCTCCAAACCCTTGATTAAGGGACACCGTGATATTTCCATGGACTTCAAAGGACCAGTAACTTTCAAATTCTCTAAGCGTCTAGAACCTGAAACACAAACATGCTGAAGACATGACACTGACATTGACCAGGGTTAGTGATTTTAAATTAGAGCAAAATCTGGAAAATTTTAGCTTGTCATTGTCCCCAGATGACAATCTCTCAATGTCAGGAAAATCATATTGACTCCATCCACCACAATTTTGCCAGGAGTCTGCTGCTAAGTCTAATTCAAATAACTTTACTTCCTTTTGAATGGCAAACTTAACCCAGTGATCAAACATGTACCAACTACCAGAATAGCAAAAACCAACTCGGAATTGATCTAATGTTGGACCCTGGTGCAATACCAAAGCTTGATTTACCAACTTCATAAAACTGCATGGGCTCTTTCGCGAGTAAGATTTTTTATCGCGATCATAAATCTCAAAACAGCCAGTCGTATACTGCCATAAGTATCTCCACCTACGAGAGACAAGACAGGTTTTTGCTGCCTCCTTCACGGATAAATAGGAAAGAATGATCACAAGCAACTCCTCGTTCAATTCATCAATCTTGGGATCCTACACATAAATAGATAACAATACAAGTGGGATGTCAAAAGAAAAAAAAAGAAGCTAAGGTGGAAACCAGAATTACCTGTCCATCAGCCATTCTTCTTCTGTTGTTATATTCAATATATATATAGAAAGAGGAATGGAGACCAAAGCCTACACAAGACAAGCACAAAGTGTTGTAGGTAACTTGAAATCTAAAGGACTCAAAAACTTTTATGCAGCAAAAAAGGTTTTCTACCCAAGTAAGTGGGTGTGAAGCATACATCAAATTTAAACAATACATGTGCATGACGAACCCCGGACAAACCAATGGAACTCTGCCAGGCAGATATTGGATTAGTTAACGTCTAAATATTATTTATGTAAGTATTCGTTATACGAGGATTAATTATACATATACTAGTTACTCCTAGTTTGGTTCGTTACCATTTTTAAATCTAAAACTGAGTTGCAACCACAAGAGCAAATAAAAAACATCACCTCATACTAATAATATTACAAAACAGGAGATATAAAACTAAGTTGCAACCACAACAACAAATAAAAGTTAATAACTCAAAAAACGTATGAGTTAGAGAAGGAGAAAACTCACAGACTTTAGGGCTTATGATCGAAGAGATTGGCGGCTACAGGGAACTTTATTTTTTATACTAATATAATTTATTTATTTTTTAATTTGATTATACTGATATAATAAATTGAAATATGTTGGGGATTTCTTTTTTGGATTTCCACTTACGGCTAGCTACGGAGTCCCCTATTATTAAGTTTGGATCGCACTCGGAAGTGTAAAAAGTTGATTTTTATATTTATAATTTGTAAAAAATTTATTGAGTCAATTTGGCACAAAATTATTATTTTTATAACGAGAAAAAATAATAAGGTTTTATCGTAACTCTCATCACTAATAAATCAAATATGGAATAAAGACGTGCAAGCATAGTAACAAAGACATTTATCACATAAAACTGCGGTAACAAACTGAATTTTTAACTAAACTAAATCATTATATAAAACAATTTATCAAAGTAATACATTTTTCTAAAATTTTACAAAACTAGTATAAACGTATTTCATGGTAACGTTTTAGGGTATATTTTATTTTTTAAAAACTAACAGCATTAGGTAGATATACGTCACTGTAAGTAACGTTTTACTTTTAAAACGTTATTTTCAGTAACGTTTTAGGAGTAAAACGTTAATGTGAGTAACATATATCAATCTGACGCCATCAACTTTTAAAAAATAAAATATATGCTAAAACGTTACTTTGGAATACGTTTATACTAGTTTTGTAAAATTTTAGAAAAACATATTATTTTAGTAAATAACTTTATATAATGGCTTAGTTTGGTTAAAACCTCTAACAAACTTGATCAGTCATATATCATACATCACCAAAAACTAAGTTTGAATAGAAAGCTATGGTATATATTCAGACTTCAGAGACAAAAATAAATGGGGCCTTTCATCAAAGCACGCAATGCATTATAGCATTCGAACAAAGCATCATGAAAGCAACAAAAATTAAGTGTTAAAATTTCACAAGATAGAAAAGGAAAGATAAATAACTTCGGTAATTTAGTTAGTGAATATAAACGGAAAACAAAACTTAACATAGATGATATTTAGTATTTCTTAAAAAGTACACTACCTTCATGTAGGTGAATTTCGTAAGAAGATTTTGCACCCTCTCGTTTATGTTTTTCTGGTTCTGAATAATGGATTCCAAAACAACGATTTGGTCTTCCGCCATTGATGTCGTACTTGTTGTTCTAAGTATTGCTAGATTATTCCTACAAGTTCGGAGGATTTCAACGACCTTCCCTTCCTACGTACTGTTGTTGGTTGTTGGATCTCCGATATCAAACTCTTCCGGTAGAGTCAAATCTACAAATACAGTGATTTCTTTATCAGAATTCAGTCATACACATGTTTATCGAAACAGAGCAAATTGATTGGTAAAACAGAACAGAAGTAAGTCATAGAACAGGTTTTCTTGACAGAGAAATAAGTTATAAAACAGGGTTTTCATCAAGAACAGTGATTCTTCTAAACTGAAAACGGATAAACAATCATAAAAAAGAAAACCCAGTTGAGATTCTTGTATACCTTGCCATTCCGTTCCAAAAACTTCTTTCATGGAAGCTTCCTTATGGAGTAACAGTTCAAGATTAGCTTTGATTTCTGTAAGCTCTTCAACGTATGAAGAACTGTTTTTATCAATTTCTTGTTTTTTGATTTCTTGATCAATTGACTCAGCCAGCCTGATACTTGCTTTCGAAATTTTGTAGAGCTCACGTACTTGATCATCGTTCATTTTCACGAGAAATTTTGAACCTTGTGTTTTTTTTTTTAAATATGAAACTGGCGCCTCTGTGAGAGAATGCAGTTATTAAAACAAACCCATCATTAGTGAAATGTGTACGTATATATATACATAATAAAATCAGTGTAGAAGTATGAAATGTCAAAAAAAAAAATCAAACTAACGGAATAATTATACTTTTGGGCAACCAAACAGTACCCATGTAATTACATTATGATATATAACAAACTAATAAATCATCCTAAGAGGTGTTTAAAATGATTTAAAGAGTTTAAGCGTTAAGCTGGCAAGGACATGAGTTGACAATCCGATTCAAGTATAAAAATCTCACAGTATGTGAATACTTTTTAGAAAATCCAAAGAAAATTGAAAAAACTTAAATACGAAAAAACCTCGTAAAATTTGATTTTTATTGATTTGGTTTATATTTGAAAAATCTGAATCAATCTAGACTATGTATATGAGCTCTATATATGCAAACCTATGTACTAAGGGATCGTTTGGTTGGAAGACAAGTTATACTACAATTAGTTATATTAGGAGTACGAAAAATTAATGCATCGAAAGTATGCCCTCCATCGTTTAAAATAGAAAATAGTTTGAAGAACATCTGAGGATACTATTATTCCACTCTCGAAATAACTTTTCATGATACTAATTATTATTATTCTTGCTATTGTCATCAAATAATGGATAAGAAATAATTAAACGATCTCTAATGATTGTTTTGATAGTTGATTAGAGTTATGCATCGATATCTATTAGTAATGTAGTGATTATTTATGAATTAGTCGATCCATTGTTATATGGAGATATGAGTTATTCGTGTATTAGTTATTCATAAGACATACATTAGATTATTAGAATTAGTTCACTACAAAAGAAAGCCTACGTAGCAGGGGTTTATTTTACATATTGTGAGGGTTAGAAACCCCCACAATTTGTTGTAGCAGAGGTTTCAACAACTCCTGCTTTTAGGTCTGCCACAATTACTCTTTGAGGGGCTTTTCACGAACCCCTGTAACAAGGGGCAGGGGTTGTTTTGCAGCAATTTGAACCCCCAAATAGCGGGGATTCAAACCCCCCACGATTTGTGAATTATCTTTGTATATTTTGCCTTCAGTGGAACGATGCTTTTGACCGAAGCCTAAAGTTAATTAAGCTAATAATAGTATACCAAACCATAACTTTACTATTGCTGCAAACAATAAAGAAACATTAAGGAGAACTTTCACATTGTTAACATAAACTCTGTTTGCATATCATTTGGTTGTGAAAGCTTAATCATGTCGTACAAATATAACTCCACCATGAGTAGACTAAAGTTATCCTTGCTACTCCGATCAATAGCTAAACACATCATTCACTCTAATCATTATGATCCGATCCATCATACAATTAAATTTTTGAAACTAAATGCTAAACACATCATTCACTCCAAGACAAGTTTCTTCCCGCCTGAACTACTCTATCTTGTCTACATCTTCCGGGGTGTCAACACTGTGGGTCTCATGGTCCACTTTTATCACCTACATACAGGATGAGATCCATACACTATAAAAACACTGATAAATTAATCGGAACGAGTAAATGGATAAGTCAAGCTTGCAAATTTAGTACCTTCATCTTGTATCCATTCTCAAGGACCTTCAATCCAATAGCTGAATTTGAAGGTGCAGCAAATAAGGAAACTGAGGATTAATCGTGTCAAACCTGAAGTTTGCACAAAAGTAATCAGGTTTATCACACAGTAGACAAGAAATACTACTGCAATAGACTTTTAAGAAAATCATGACTAACTTGTTATAAGGTATCAATCCTCGTGAAAATAGATTGCATAACCTCGACTCTCAACCACACATTTAACACGATTTGGATCTAATGCATCCTCAGGTTTTAAAGACATCACAACAGTGCCAAATACCGCGTTTGGTGCAGCCTGCATAAATACAGTCTTCAGAAAATTAACATCATTTCATAAATGGAAAACTATACCAAGTCAAATACTAATTTAAACTAGACTAATATAGTTTCATTATTGGCCTTCATCTGATATCTTCCATTTTTTTGGTGGATTGGTTATCCTTGGATTATTATTGATAACTCTTCCTCAAACAATCTCATTAAAAATTCAAGATTGATTCAACTACAAACACTTTGTAAAGGTCCAATTTGAACGTTAATCTCCCCGATCAATCTATGTTACTCAATATATGAAGAAGATAATAGTCGATACAGGGTTTGAAATGTTGATATCTTCATGTTGTCAAGAAAATTGTGTTTTGCCATTCAGCTGATATCCACTCTTTCCTGATAAGTGACCGCAACTACATTTTATATTACTTTGAGCAAGCACAAAACTAGTGTGATCCTTTCTCTCACTAACAACATTTAACCAACTTATTAACATTAACAGAGTAATATACAAAAAATGCATGTCTAAAATGTGAAGTTTGAGACAGTATGAGTATGATAAGCGACAACCATATTAAAATGCTAGTATAGGAAAATACAAACCTCTCATTCTACGATAGTTAAAGTACCTTTAAAAGTGACTGAAGACTAATTCACTCCCTAATGAGGTAGTTATTTCGATTGAGCATATATTCAGAAAGGAAGTATAATTGCTATTATTTACCTGCAGGGCTTTGACAATTGCAACTATTGTCTCAGGTTCAATAAGAGGTTCATCTCTTTGTATGTTAACGACAATGTCATATTTATTCCCAAGCTTTTGAAGAGCTTCATTGCAACGCTCGGTTCCTCCAATTTAAGAACTGAGCATTAGCAATTTAACAGACGAAATTCACAGAAGTAGCAAAATTTAAGATTAAGAAAACGAGGATAATATCATTACCATTTCTACATGATTTAGAGGTCATTATTACTTCAACACCAAAACCTTGACAGCACTCAACTATATTTTCATCATCTGTTGCCACAACTGTTAAACAAAACAAACATATCAACACATGTGATTACTACACCAACTATTGCTTCTCTTTTCTTTCCCTTTTTTACTTTGTTGGGGGATGTGGTTGTGGTTAAAAAAAAAGTAGTCAAGTAAGGTGAAATGGAGACGTACCAACATGATCCAATGTAGCAGCAAGTTTAGCATGTTACCGTTTTCTGAAATTTGAACAAGAGGTATGCCTTGGACTACATCATGTCTTTCTTGAATTTCAAGAGTCATCTGAGCTATAATTGCTTGAAGTTATGTGCAACTGCTAAGATTATCTTTAATCAATCCAGTGGTTAGTTCTTTCTTCAAAACTTTAACGGAATGAATGAAATGGAAAACAAGTATATGAAATTCTTACAACTAGAGGAAGTATAGATAGCCAAAACATAGCCTGCCATCCTGAAAGGACAATATTTGTATTGGTAGGTAGAGCTAGTTTTTTTTACAATTAGAGATAACATGACTTGAAAAGAAACAATCAAGGTCGTTAACATTACCGTGGACATTCAACAGAAGATAAACAACTGCAGAAAACCATAGCAATGAACTGCAAATGTATAACAACGACCATAAATAATTGGATACCTCTAGCTAGTACAATGTAGCACATGATCAAAACTTGAGAAGAATTGAGTAATTTATTTCAGTTTTATTCGAAAGACACGTACTTGATACCCACAATAACCTTGAAATCATCCTCCAAGGATCTTTTTATGTACTTTTGAAAATTAAACTTACTTCCAGGTGCTAAATGGACCTGCAACAAGAGAAAACAATAAACCAATTAAGAAGTTAATTTATCTAATCCGAAAATGAGTTACTAGGGTCATTCTTTTGTACCCTTTTTCTTCCTTGACTATTTCAATCCATATAAGGATTCTTGAAGCTTTATTGAAAAAGTTTCTTTCAAACTCTTATATGCTTCAGACACTCGATTGTTTTAAGGATTTTCATATAACCTTCATTGTCTAGCTAGACATTACAATTATTTATTTACATGCATTCAAGTTTTCATATGTTGCCAGATCAAAACAAACCTCATTTCATCCACCAAAGGAGAAAACATCTCCACTAATGTCAGGATTTTTGCGATAAACATTTATGCCCCAATGCACAAACCGTATTTGATATCTTACGGTTATACTATCGCATAATAATTTATTTGTACCCCACTGACATTATATCTTGATTTATGGACTACCAGTCCAAAATGTCACTTTGCTAAGTGAAACAAAATAGACTTGAATAG